AAGCATATTCAAGAAGGTAAAGAAATATTTAGCTTTTACAATTATATGCGTCAACTCCAATAAAAAGCTCCAAATTTCTTTTTTTTGCGTTTTTTTTAGGGCTAAATCAGGAATTTTGCAATCAACAGCCGATTTTGCAGAATCGCAATGCGATTGCAGAAACGCAGATTTCTAAGGGGACAGAAAGTATTCCACTTGGGAGGTATTCAACTTTCAGATGTTCATTTATCTATGAGTCAATAGGTTGGGGAACTTTAAAAAAAGTACCACTCATAGAGGTGTTCTACTTAGAACATTTTGTGGCAACTTAATTTGGTGGACTTGCAATATTATAATGCACTAATGGTACTAATTTACATGGTACTAAAATTACAAGGGAATTTGGCGGCTACTTGATTTGACCTTTTTCAACAATTTAAACAACAATTTACAGGGATACAGTAAAATACAATTAAAAGTGATGATGTGCCTAATGAGATTGATTTAACCTTTAGCATGCTGCCGGCGGACGCGTCCGCCGAGACTAAAATGTCTCTCACAACTGCCGGCGGACCCGTACGCCCGATTTCAAACTTTTAAAAACTTTACTTTTTCGCGCCATTCGTATTGTCCAATTAGATTGCCCGATTTATTCAGTGCCTAACATGACTTTCTGTTGACCTAGAAATGGCGATATTTCGAAAAATAATTCTCAATTCAACAATTTAAACAGTGTTTTAGTCGTTTTTAGTGAATGAATCGTACAAAATGATGGACAAATACGATCGTAACGAAAATGTGGAGGAAATGGATTACGATTTCGAGCTCTTTAGGCTCTTGGAAGCCGATAACGGTCATCGAAAATAGAAACTAGAATATTTTCTGAATTGAAAAATTGAACATTCGATCGCTGCAAATTCAGATTTGGATTCTGACCAGACGAAGGGGCAGAGCGGCGGATTCCGGAGGAGTATTCATGGTATATTGATGCCCAGTCGTGTTAATGTACGAAAAAATTCATGAGAAGATTTTTTTTCATGAGCCAGGCCACTGTATCTTCCCTTTGTGAAAATTTTATCCAGATTCATTCAGTAGTTATTGAGATATTAATTATTTAGTCCAGGCATATCATTTTTTGCACTCTTTGAAAAATAAGCCAGTTGCGTGGGATATATTTGCTGAAATAAGGCAGCATGGTAAAGGTTAAACTGCTATCATTAATATTTTGAAAGAAGGTTGGATTTATATGATTTCTTGAAATGGGATAAGTTATTTGCTTGTTTAATTGTGCCATCAAGTGTGGACAAAAGGGAAGGTCCATGCTGGTATCTTATAGAGAATTTGTCAGAAGTATCGATATGGAAGTTTTCCCTGTATGGCTATGTAGATATTTATTCTCCAAAGGTTTACTTTGAAGTGATGTAGTGTTCATCTAGTATTAGTCGAGTGAAGTGGTTCTGAATTAGATAAATATTATTCAAATTCGACTTATAGTTATTTCCCCATACCAAGTTACAATAGTTTATATGAGAGTGGATAAGGGAAAAGTAGATTGTAAGAAGCGATTTCTTTGTTAATAAGATTTTTACTCCGTATAATACACCAATGCACTGTGATATTTTTGTGTTTTCAACATATTTAATGTGATCGTAAAAGATCATTTCATCGACAGTAACTCTTAGAAAGGACATCATGCTCACTTGCTTTACAGTTTGTTGTCTTATGTTAATGTCCAAATTTAGGTCTTTGCTTTTACCAAATAATATCCAACTTATATAGTGTTAATATCATTATGTGAGATAAATTAGTTTGAGTCATCTGCAAAAGATATAAATTCAAAGATGTTACTAGATTTGTACATGTCATTAATATATAAAATAAATAATATGGGCCCAAGGACAGTGCCTTGAGGGACTCCATATCTGTGATCTTAGACAATTTGTTTACGATTACTTAGGTAGCTGGTAAACCAGAAGAGAGCTTTGAGCAAACACATGCAAAGTATTTTACCGTATCAGCATTTTATAAAAAAACATTTTTTAAAAATATCAAAAAAATAGCGTGATTTGCATATATATTTGCATATATATTTGATCATACATGTTAAATTGATGCGTGATTTCTATTTATCCAGCAAATGTGTGACAATCACGCCTAATGCGTGAGGGTTGACAGGGCTGCATATGCTACATTTGAATTAAATCATTATTAACTATTTGCATTCGATTAATGCCTTTGGTCACATTTGCTCCGATTCATCAGATGGCGCCCGCCCAATTGAGTATTTTGTTCAAAATTGTATACAGTTAATCAATACTCAATGTGACCAAGGCATTAAATAAATAAAATTGTGAAAAGCAAGTAGCTTGCAAAATCTATTTTGTATAGTATATCAAATGTCTGTTGCAAAGAGCATCACATCAATTGCTATGTGCTTTTAACACCATTTGAATTAAAATTATCAAAAGTATAATTTGAAAAAACTAAATTGTATCATGGTGCTAGTTCGTATGTATATCACATCTGTTGACATGCGATGCAAGTAAATTTCAGATTACTTGAATAATAAAAAATAAGAATATTTTATTTTTATGGTGTATCAAAGGCAGAGGTCAAGGAGCATCACATCAAATACTGTGTCCTCATCTGCCTTATGCCTTAAACTAAAATCTATTGAGATGTTTGCGTGTTCAGGTTTTCTAAAATTTTAATGTATATATGTCAGCTCAGTATACATGTAGTTATAGTTAAGTTAAAAAAATGTGCATTCATATTACTGTTTAGTGAATCAAATACTCCAAGCCAGACGCCTTTTTTCAGTTCATGAAGTCAATTGATGGTTGATGCTTGAATTCTCTTTTGTCAGTCATCTTGACAAGCATGTGTACAAGTTTGCAAAATAGGAGTGAAATTACTTTCTCATATGACTAGCAAAGATATACTGAGGTTCTTATATGAGTACCTGTGTAAGATCGTCCATTCTTGATGAGCTTTGATAATTCTTTATCGAGTCGCAGACGAGAAACATTATCAAAGCGAGTTAAGAATGAACAATATTGCACAGGTACGAGTAAAAGAAAGTTTTTCTAATATGACTGCATTGTTCCATATTTTCACCTTTTTATGATTAAACTGAGTGAAAAATAGCTAGAAATTAATGGAACTTCATTTATCTTTGTTGGTCATATGAGAAATTGCCATCTCTCATCATAAAAAGTCACACAGTAAGATGAGATTTACTTGTGACATCACTAGTCTATAAACATCAGCAACGTCATAACAATTGAAAGATTAAGTTCCATTAATCTAAAGCTATTTTTCAACCAGTTTTGTCATGAAAATGTGAAAGTATTGCATAACACAGAGTCATACGAGAAAAACTTTTCTTGTACTTGTACCGGTGCAAAATCGTCCATTCTTGACTCACTTTGATAATGTTTCCTAATCTCGTCTGCGACTCGATAAAGAAGAATTATCAAAGCTCATCAGGAATGGATGATCTTGCACAGGTACTCATATAAGAACCTTTATGTATTCTTAGATTATCTACTACCATGGACCAATGTTAAATGATATCATCAATCTTTTAGAAACTTGGAGGTGGAATAAAAGTTTAAAATAATCAAAATGAATTGGAATATCTTTTATACCTTATACTTTTCCTGATGTTCACACAGCCATCACCACAAGAGAACATCAAAATAGCACTTTTCAAAAGTGCAATAAAAAAGAATGAAATACGAGGGGTGATCCAAAAGTCTTGGACGCCCTGCTCTAACTTTGCTATTTTCTAATGTAATTACATGAAACTTTCAGATAATAAAGATCAACATCTTAACAACTTTGTGTATAAGTTTCAACAGAAACTAATAAAATTTAGCTACTTTTCTGAATATTTTTTAATACTGGGTCCCTGCCACCCGGAACGGTATTTAAATATAGCAAATCACGTCACAACTGTTTTAATATGGGAAATACTTCAGGTGCAGGTGCACAACCTAACACCAGTCATGATATGAGAGAATTTCCGATTTTCAGTCTGAGAGTCATCTGCCATTATCATCTTCACATATTAAGACCTTCTTTTCAACATATTTTCCATGAATTTGAACACATTTTTCACACCGCTTTACCAATGAATGAAAGACATTTATGAAACCCCCATTGCTTATGTGATACAAATGCTGCTGGAGTGCCACTCTATTCTCATCCGATGAGTCAAAAAACATTTTCTTCCAACCCTCCTTTCAACTTGGAGAAAAGGAAGAAAATCACACGGAGCCATATCTAGACTGTATCGTGCATATGGAAGCTGCTCAAGGTCAATAATAGTGACAATATGTTGTAGAATTCTTTGTTCCACTTTGATTTCTTTCATGTTCTGCATCTCAGCAGCCACCTTGGAGCGAAAATGATACCAGAATGAGGGTTGATTGGCTGATGTCATTTTCTTAGTACTTTACATATACGGCCATTGTCATATGTGACATTAAAATTAAATCACAATTAATTGGTTGCCTAGTAACAAAGGAAGTAAACTAACATGGTTAGACATTCAAAATTTAAGGAAAGATAGTGGTCAAGACTTGCAAAACAAGTCAAATAGCGGCAACATTTAAGGCTGAAAGTTGCCATATGTGAATACCGTTCCGGGTGGCAGGGTCCCTATATTGATAACTATCTAGAAAGCTACATAAAATATATCATTTCACCATGAAATTGATACACAAAGTAGTTAAGTTGTTGGTCTTTATTATTGGAAAGTTTAAAGTAATTTTGTCAAAAACCAACAAAATTAGAGCAGGGCGTCCAAGACTTTTGGATCACCCCTCGTATATGTATTGTTTTAGGTGGGTAGTCTGCTCTTGAATCTATAAAACTTTCAAGACTGCATGATTTTACTGGAATTTTGATGATGAGATGTTTGTGGTATCTGCCTCCACAAGACAACGTCAAATCATAAATTTTTTGCTTTTTAAATTGCATTTTAGAAAATCTGTGTATGTATTAAATTGTTTCAGGTTGGTGGCTTGGAAGAGACAATGAGCTATCAAGTAGAAGACCCTGATTTTGGTGTCATACAAACCACATCTGCTGGAAAGCACATTCCTAACAAGTAAGCTTCATTTTCAAATATTATAGTAGCCCGGACAGAATAGTTCAATGGTCACTTTTTCCTTAATAACTTTTTTAATTTTCAGTATTATCATAGTCTGATTACACATTTGAAAACTAGAGTAAAATTCTGACATACAAAAAAAATATTTGAGGAACATCTCTTAATTTATTGATATTATAGGCGTTCATAGTATGAGTGACGCAAATACATAATTCATCATTTTGCCTTATATTTGTTCAAAATGGCAGCATATTTTGTGAATTTGAATGTTCAGTTGAAAGTTAATATTTAAAGATTGTCATAGGACTATAGAGCCATGCTGCCAACGTTACAATTCTGATGTAATGCAGCAACTGACCAATCATCAAATACAAGAAGTCAACTCCCTCCAAGGGTATATGAAATCAACTCTGTTGAAATGTTCGGGGTTGAGTTCAAGAGGATGTGAAAAGGTGGCGCCCCAATGTGAGGGGTGTGATGAGAGTAGGTCCTCAATCTTTTCAAGAGCTCCAAATAGCCATCTCAGAGGCCATTGAAAAGCTGAAGAACAATTCACATGCATGCCAAGGATGGGTTAAGAGGCGTGTGACTGGGAAAGACATTACAAACTGTGGCAGTATGACCCTATAGTTGCACAGGTTAAACGAACTAGGGTTGCTAATCCACTACGAGTAACAATGAAATGGCCAAAAAACTCCAGCGACCTTACAAATATACTGTACATACAATGTACAAACCTTTTTAAGTACTGGTATACACACAAGTCAATTTAAAAAAGGTTATAAATGCAGTCATTACCTCATACCAAGGCAGCAGTCTACATGACTCCATATGCCTATGACATTTCTTAAATATTTACTTTTATCTGAACATTCAAATTCACAAAATATGAATTATGTATTTGCGTCACTCATACCATGAAAGCCTATAATATCAATAAATTAAGAGATGGTCCTTAAATATTTTTTTGTATGTCAGAATTTTACTCTAGTTTTCAAATGTGTAATCAGACTATGATAATACTGAAAATTAAAAAAGTTATTAAGGAAAAAGTGACCATTGAACAATTCTGTCCGGGCTACTATGTTACTAATTTTTTTGTCACCTTCACGAGTGGTGACATATTGTTATAGTCTGAAGTGAATCGATAGATATAAACACACAGGGGTCCAACTATACATGAAAACCGTTAATTTGACCTACCAGATGTTTGAAAATCAAGGATTGTGAGTCTCATACTGCACCGTTCTTTTCTTCAAACTTGTTCCATTCAAAGGAAAACAAAAAATGCATTTCTTTCGGTCTGAGACTAACATAGAATGTTAGTCTCAGTTTCGGTACATTATACTGTCATACAGAGTCCCTTGTTTTAGCAGTGTTTGGTTTCCCAGCTGTGAGAAGCTTCTCACTGTCGTAGTTGGCAATGCATGCAACAGACATGCATGTACTGTGTACATATTAATAAATTTTTCCTTGTACATTACACGATTTGATGTTAAATCCCATTATGTTTGTTATTTATTACAAATTGTTAATATATCTGATTAGTATATCCTCTGAATAAAGTTAAAATGATGAAAATGTTTTGATTAAATCTGGATATTTTTTTGTGTCCAGATTATAGTACAGTTGCAGATACTGTTTTGAAGTAGATACTATCAGCATTACCCCAATCATTTGCTTCATCCTTTATCAGCTTCGCTCCATCCAATACCCCCTCATGATTATAGTACAGTTGCAGATACTGTTTTGAAGTAGATGCTATCAGCGTTACCCCAATCATTTGCTTCATCCTTTCTCAGCTTCGCTCCATCCCATACCTCGTCAGGGACAACAGCTTCAACTCTCGGCAGATTGTAGTACACAAGTTTTGCCCCAGGGTTGCTAGCCTTGGCTGCATTTTGAATTAGATATTGTAGTTGTGGCCCAGAGAAGTGATGTACTACAGTAGAAAGATTTATCCCATCAAATTTTGGTTGATGTTGTTCAATATTGTCGGCTATGTACTTCACTATGTCTGCTTGAATCCATTGAATTCTGCCTAAACGGGACTTGATCAGCTCATAGTTTCCCTCCCTCAGGTATGGTGGAAGTAAACCATTTCTTCCCACATCTTCTGTAAGCAAGAACTGCAGCAAATGGTTCTTATTATTGGGGACATTTCTTATTGATTTATCAAATTGGTCCAAACATGCTTGCCCGTAATCAGTGTTTGCTGGGATTACCGATTTTTTTAAGATTTTTGAGCCTTGCACACGTATGTCCTTGTAAGCCCGTCTCCATGATGATGTGTTCCATATAGTCTCAAAAAATTCAATTTGCTTCTTCATGTCATCCCCAAGGGCCAAAAATTCAGCTGTTGTATTTTTGTCATGGATTGAAGAAAATATTTTGTGACCAAGCAGGACTATGGTCATTTCTAGCCTCCCAATATACCATATCCCCATTTCAATGGAGGCTATGTTAGCATCCCAGAATTCTTTGGTCTTGGTATCTAAATTGCCACAGATGGTGTTGTAGATGGATACACGTTCTAAAGGCTGTGTTGATCTTCTGTTTATCCCAACAAATCTGCAGAATTCTTCTCGTGTAAGTTGCCTCATGCCTTCAGCCTGGTGTAAAAGAGATATTCATGTTGAATCGCAAAATCACATACATGTACATGTATATCAGGGTTTGCAATGGCGAAGTAGCTATACATGACAACCAAATTATAGGGAATTATAAGGCAAGGGACTTAAAAGATTATCATTGCCATGTATTTAAACCCTGGAGTTTAACTAAGAGGCCCTTTTAGTAGTGGCTTCACAACTGAGGTTGAAAACATGATTGCCACCAAAATTAAGAATTAAGTCTTTGGATAACTGAGTTTCAAACCCTGAATGTACCTGTAGCTTTGCGAGATATAACTGCTCAACATGTAAATCAACTGCAATGATTTCCTCAGGGTTAGCAAGAAGTTTCTCCAGGGCATGGGTCCCACTGGCAGCTACTGTGAGGATTCTATCGCCTGTCTTTATGTTCATAAGCTTGTTGATTTCAGTGACATCTATATATGTCTGAAATAATCAATGTGTGACCTGTATAAGTGAATCGTATAATTTCTGCTAAAATTAACGAAAAAATGTAAAATGTATTTACTTAAAAAATTGTTTTATGATATTGGTTTTGGAATAATATTGAATAGTAATAATAATTTAGATAAACAATTACCCTAATAATTTAGACTAATCATTTGGAGAATTTACTCTCTAAAAGTTAATTCCCAATATAGCTTACCAATTTCCTAAAAGCTTCACCTCCTGAGTAGCTTATATCCTAAAATGCCTCGACTCCCCCCCCCCCCCCCCCTGGATCACTCAGGTCATACCCTCAACACAAATTTACTGGACCACCCATTCCCCGAAAGGTCATACCCTCAATACCATCCTTCTTCAAAGGACTTCATTTATGCTTAAATTTATATACTTGTAAAAGTATTTATGCTTAAATTATATACTTGTAAAATACCCTTGCAGCAAGGATGCCTCAATACTAATTTACTGGCACATATGAATTCTTCAAATTTGAAAAAATTTGGCTGATAATTCTTCAGCAAAGCCGTTACAAGTGTTTATGTTCATATATGTAATCTTCAATAAATTCAATGGAAAGAAAAAATGAAAAAATAAATTGTCAAAATATCATTCATGGTCTTTTTAACCTACCTGGCTAAACATCACTGGTGTTTTAATTGAAATTTCCTCCATTATGTATTAATTATACACCTCGTTTTTGTTGATATAAGTATTTGATTTGTTTTGATTTAAAACTTATATTTCGACTAATTACAAAAGTTTTCTACATATAGCTTTTATAGCTCGTTTTGCACACAATGTTCAACAACTGGTCCTACTTAGAAGCCCAGTGTTCAAAACTTCAATTACTCGATCATTACTGTTTAAAACTTCTCAAGTGTAACTTAGTCCTGTGTTTTGGTTTTTATACATGGTTTGAAAGGCACAGCTGAACAACTGCCAGTGGGTATCACTTTAATACTCCTTGAAATAAAATAACCTTTTAAAAATCTGATTTTTCAAAATGAGTATACTGCTTTTATTATTACATTTATATGTACACTAGTATCTTGTTGACCTATATTGAGCACTGTATTAATGTATAGGCCACTTATTAGGGTCCCTATGGGAAAATAACATGGGTTATGTGGTTTTTAACTTTAATGCATTTCAATACACATCTTCTTTTCAGAAATTGTTCATATAGTGTAGAAGAAACTTTTGATATGTTTAAATTGAGACAAGCAAGATCGTCTTTTTTGAAAATAAGCCTAACATTTTTAAAAAGTGCCATGGTGGGGCCCTAATCCATAATTTTTCAGAGAGCTGGATTGATATCTTACTATCATGGGGACTTCACTTGAAATAAAACATATTGTTTTAATAAACCATTGTTTTTATGGCCAGAATGTACTCATGGTGAAAGATTTGACTCTCTAAAATCACTTGCCATACTGCACATGGACCTTTGACAATTTCTGTCTTTTATTTCAAGAGAATTCTGTTTAGTGCCATCTTTTTTCTTTTTCTTGTGTCTCTGTTTCAATTCTTACATTAATGGTTTAAGCTAATCCTAGCCTGGCCATTGTAAAACATGCTTGCCTTACCATGCCTGGTCCTTTAGAATTTTACACCTATTTGATGCTGATATTTCTGGACAGAACTTTGATTGTTATCCCATCGAACGAAGTTCGAAGGATAAAGGGAACGCCTCCGTCTGTCCATCCGTCCGTCCGTACGTACGTCCGTCCGTACATACGTCTGTCTGTACGTACGTACGTCCGTCCGTCCGAGCAATGACTCAAATACCGTTGGCCCGATTTTGTTCATATTTTGTACACATATACCCTATGGGGATAGAAGTTCTGCTCGAAAGCCGATTTTGAAAATGGCGGCCATTTTAGTGCCGAATTTTCTGTAATTTAGGTGCAATATGTAAAATTGTAATAGCAATATGTTTTAGATGTAAAAAAATTATATAGGACATTAAAAAAGCTAGAAATGTAGATATTAAAGAAGCACATGGCAGTCATCTTGAAAAATGGCGGCCTTTACTCGTTATTTTACGATTTTTGCTGTAACTCGAAAAGTAGTGGAGCGATTTTTTCATATTTGGTATGTGAATAATACGAACATTGCACACTGTCTAAAAACACTTTTGGTAGAAGGCGGCCATTTTGAAAAATGGCCACCATTTAAACGTATTTTACTATAACTTGAAAAATAGTGGAGCGATTTTGTTCACATTTGGTATGTTAATACTATAAGTATGGCACATGGTCTAATGACACTTTTGGTAGAAGGCGGCCATTTTTCAAAATGGCCGGCATTTTAATGTATTTTACTAATAACTCGAAAAGTAGTGGAGCGATTTTGTTCATATTTGGTATGTGAATACTATAAGCAGGACACACTGTCCTATGACAATTTTTGGTAGAAAGGGGCCATTTTGAAAAAAATTTGGAAAAATGGCCACCATTTTAACGTATTTTACTATAACTCGAAAAGTAGTGGAGCGATTTTGTTCATATTTGGTGTGTGAATACTGTAAGCATGGCACACTGTCTAATGACACTTTTTGTAGAAGGCGGCCATTTTTCAATATGGCCGCCATTTTAACGTATTTTACTATAACTCGAAAAGTAGTGAAGCGATTTTGTTTATATTCGGTATGTGAATACTATAAGCATGGCACACTGTAAAATGGCACTTTTGGTAGAAGGTGGCCATTTTGAAAAATGGCCACCATTTTAACGTATTTTACTATAACTTGAAAAATAGTGGAGTGATTTTGTTCATATTTGGTATGTGAATACTATAAGTATGGCACATGGTCTTATGACACTTTTGGTAGAAGGCGGCCATTTTGAAAAATGGCTGCCATTTTTGCTATATACTTTGTTTGTAAAAATGCCATCCATGGCTGTTTGATGAGATTCGCTACGCTTTGGCGTTGCCATTGTTCTGGTTTTACCTGTGTCAAAATTGTATGACAAACACTATGAATATTTTTTATGTCAAAATTGTTTCATGAGTAGTGGAGCCATTTTGTTCATATTTGGTATGTGAATACTATAAGCATAAAACACTGTCCTATGCCACTTTTGGTAGAAGGCGGCCATTTTGAAAAAAAATTGGAAAAATGGCTGCCATTTTAACGTATTTTACTATTACTCGAAAAGTAGTGAAGCGATTTTGTTCATATTTGATATGTGAATACTATAAGCATGGCAAACTGTCTAACGACACTTTTGGTAGAAGGCGGCCATTTTGAAAAAAAATTTGAAAAATGGCCGCCATTTTAACGTATTTTACTATAACTCGAAAAGGGTATAGTGGAACGATTTTGTTTATATTTGGTATGTGAATACAATAAGCATGACACATGGTCTAATGACACTTTTGGTAGAAGGCGGCCATTTTGAAAAATGGCTGCCATTTTTGCTATATACTTTGTTTGTAAAAATGCCATCCATGGCTGTTCGATGGGATTCGCTACGCTTTCGCGTTGCCCTTGTTCTGGTTTTGCCTGTGTTAAAATTGTATGACAAACACTATGAATATTTTTTATCTCAAATCTGTTTCATGAAATTTATTTTATAATTTTAGGAAAGATGAAACTAGGCCTAGATCACACAAATCGGAAACTCCAAAAAGTAAACTATTTACAAAAACTGATCAAAGCTTAAAAAATAACAATCCACAAAATAGCAAAGCTAAGGACTCTAAACAATTAACAAAAAATGAACAGAACTCTAAACTAACAAATGAAGTGAATAACAAGGCTAAAGATGCAAAACCTGGACAAATCAAACACACTACCAAAGCAGTGCCCCATCCTGTCAAGGGAAGGGTTGAGGAATCCAATAAATCTGTGGAAGAGTCAAGTAAGGTCAGGGCAAATTCAAGAAGTGGTTCACGGGCAAAGTCTGCAAGTAAATCCGCTAGGCCGAAAAGTACCCGTCCAGGTTCAAGAGCTAAGAGTAGGGCCTATTCCAGAGTGGAGATGTTCGGGTAAGTTGTAGTTTCTGTTTGATAAAAAAAATGTTGTCTCTTAGTTTATGGATCACTGCCAAACTTCAGACTCAAAAGTGCTTTTAAATAAATGCCCATGCAAAATAAATGTCCAATCATTAAGCACTCTGGTCAGATGCTTCATTGTGATGTCATTTTTGCATATAGAAGCAAAGGTCAATTGTTTTTCCAGATAACATCTCTAGTGTGAATTCATGTATATGTATATAAAATATGCTCCATAAAATATGGCATAAGTATATTCAAAGGAAAATATTTGAATTTGCTATATGCCTATACATTGGATTTCTCTTAAATATGCAATGATTGAATAAAATAGATTCTAACATGATATGTGATGTCACAATGACGAGAACAATTGATTTATTGGTCTATATTGGGGTATGTATGACCTGTAAATTTCAATATAGACCAAAAAATTATTATAATTGCATACTCACCTTCTCTGAACCAATTAAGTCACAATATAGACATGACAGATGTCAATATGTGACGTCAGTTTCATTATTGATATTTTTGCAAACTATTTAGCTAGGAGGAAATCCGGTAAATAGAATGTCCAAAACATTCGAATTTTCTTAAATAATCAAATCGGAAGAAACTTAGGTTTTATCATGTTAGAATTGTAACAAAGACCTTGATTCTATGATTAATGGCAAATATATGACCCCAATTTTTATTCTGCCCATTGCCAAAGACCTCAATCGCTACGCGATTTCGGTCTTTTAACAATGAGCAGAATAAAATTTTCGGTCATATATTGCGCCATAAATCATAGAATCTCAGTCTTTATTCCTTAATTAATGAGTAAATTTTTATGAACTCATCGTTTCAGGGAAGGTATTCTTACCAAAGCGCCATCTGAACATCTGAAAATTGTGGCCGGATTGTCTTCTCATGTAGACAAGGTCAAATATGACAATGGCCTGAATGAGCTCTTCAAAATTGGAGTATCACCAGGGCAACAAGAAGAGAGAGTGGTGATACCCACTGCTGATAAAAATAAAAAGAAAGATGAAAAGATAAGCTATAAATGTAAGTTTCTAACTTTTTTATTAACTCCCAGGTATCATCTTGCTTTAAAAAGAAAAGATACAGGAGTGCTGTATACATATATTTTATAAATTTTCAGTCACCTATTACCCAATTTCTATGACAACATGAGGAGTCAAACTGCTCTTCCATCTTTTTGAATCTCCAAATAAAGATCTTTATTGATTCGATCAATAATATTAAACACTGTACGTGTAGAAAGAACAAAATTTCAATTAGAAAAATACATGATGATTTGTAGAAAATATAGACAATAAACCTAAACATGTACATGTGATACATTGTTACCGGAGTGGAATATTTCCTGTATCACATAAGCTGAAATGTGTGATAACAATATTTCCTTACACAAAAGTGTTCCTTTTTTGATACACGGTACATTGTGGAATGTGGAAATACAGAGTGGAATGTTTGATAATAATTCTTCACAAGTCTAGGAGTGTTTCAAGAGATTAATAATATGTTGGAATTAACTATTTTCAGTGTACCAGATGAGCCCAAAGTCGTGGCGACCAGACAGCAGTTTGGGAGAAAATGTAACAGACGATAACATCAGTGATATATTAGACTCAGTTGCTATGGCAACACGTATGATGACACCTGTTGATCAAGTTCAAAATGATGAAATCAGGAGCGCTAGCACGATCTCATTCAGCCTTGGGGGCGTTGAAACTGGAAAGGCAAGTCTAGGAGGAAAGCAGGATACATTTATTGCACCCAGTAAGGATTCAACTAATCAAGTTAAGAGGGATGAGGGGCCAAGTACCAAGAGACCTAAGTCCTCCCAGGGTGAGCATAGGCCAGATTCAAGAGCAATAGGTATGTTTGACAATGTACCTGTACAGTAAAACATGTCTGGTGGAACACCTCTATAAATGGAACAAATATCATTAGTTATAACACACCGTGTGATACGGAATATGCATCATCACAATTGACCAATCAGAATGCTTAGAAACTCCTAACCATGTCATAATAATTGTTATCACACTTTAAAAAGTGCTATATTGTCGTCATCTTGTGCTGATGGAAATGTTGGTGGTAGGGTGTGTTCTTGTCATCAAATTTCCATGAAAACCGATAACCTGTTCAACTCGATCAATTTTTATAGGAACACCTATCAACAAAGGATAAATTCAACTAGGATATTCATTATACACAGGTTTTACTGTGTACCACAATAAAATTACTGATAGATATATAAGAATATTTGTGACTTAACTATACTACAATAAAATTACTGATAGACATATAAGAATATTTGAGACTTAACTATACCACAATAAAATTACTGATAGACATGTATCGTATAAGAATATTTGAGACTGTACTATACCACAAGTAAATTATGTAACAAAAGCCAGTAAGTGGAATCAGCTAAGAAGTGGGCAGACTCGGACATCAATGTTTTGCCCATATCTGCCCATGACGTATGCTTACATGCACAAGGTATAGACTAGTAGGGAGATTAAGCTTCACATTTTAAAGAGAGCTTGTGCATGAATGTGTCGAATAATGCCATTAATGGTCCTCTGGAAATTAGTTCTCCCCTTCATAGCATTTACTTACCCAATTGAATATAAAGGTATAAGAAAAAAAGTTGTATTTATGTCCCTGAGAAACCAATTTAGAGATAAAGAGGAATCCCCAGGGGTCATAATATCGCAAATTCACGTACAAGTTCTCTTAAAAATGTGTAGCTTAAATTCACTTAAACCATGAACCTGTAATATCACATGTATGTCCAACATGTTGACATTCACTCTATTGCAGTCGTAGATGGAGATGACCTTACGAGCTATGATGGCATGAAAGAAGCAGATGAGGGGAGTGAGAAGGCCTATGAGGATGAAACATTACATAAATAGCTTAAATTTACTAAAAGCATGAACCTGTAATATTTATAATATGTATATATGTTGACATTCCCTCTATTGTAGTCGTAGATGGTGATGACCTTACAAGCTATGATGGCATGAAAGAAGCAGATGAGGGGAGTGAGAAGGCCTATGAGGATGAAACATTACATAAATAGCTTAAATTTACTAAAAGCATGAACCTTTAATAGTTATAATATGTATATATGTTGACATTCCCTCTTTTGTAGTTGTAGATGGTGATGACCTTACGAGCTATGATGGCATGAAAGAAGCAGATGAGGGGAGTGAGAAGGCAGATGAAGATGAAACATTACATCAGTTGCAGTGGGAGTTGACATCAGAGACAGGACATAATGGTGAGAAGTCGACCCTGTTTTTATGTCACCACCATAAGTTGTGACATATTGTTTAAGTTTCCAACTTTTTTGCGGCGGCAGTTGGTATTCAGTGTTGGGCATTCATTTTCTGTACAATATGGCAGGTGATGACACTTCGCATGTTAATGCCTTGTATCTAAAGTTGTTATACAGGGTGGTCCAACAAAGTGAGCCATTCCAAGAATCTCAGTCATCAGTCAAAAATTTTGTGACGGATTATCTCGTCACTCTGGGTTTCAAGGTCATTTCTGAGGTGACGAGAAATCTCGTCACTCTAGGTAGCCAAGAGGTTAATTTAGTCAAAAACACTTGTTACTGAATCCTCTCATATACAGTATTATTGTACATTTTCACAATTTTGATGTATGAGTGTCATTGTAATCGGTTACAGTTTATTCTTCAACATGTAATATTCAATGTTAATTGTCTTCAGTTTGAATGACAAGTCCCATGGTCACTCTACTATACCTTGCATTTGGTGTTCATGAGCAACCCATTTGGCTTATTAGTATTGATTGTGTTATTTGTCTCTATTTGTCAATTCCTTATTAATGGTTTATTGGATGACTCTTAGATGTTAATAAGGTACTTTCAAAAATATATTAAACAATTCAATTAGACAAACAGAGTATCTTATGCATTTCTAGGGGTTAGGTCAAGTAGACTTGAATTGTGATAATGGTTCCTGAATGGGGTATTAGACATTATTTCTTTACTTGTTAAATTAAATCTGGGATATTAGGGGTTGTTTTCCTTGTGACTTGTTGCAGTCTTAGATGTTTCATTTTCTAGCTCTGTTTTGTAACACTTTAAGTATTTTCTCTCTGTACAAATGTAGTTTATCTCTTAGATATCTCATCAAAGCTCTCTACTCTTTCAGAAACTGGGAAAACCTCTCGTTTATCTGTGCTAGAGTTAGAGGGAGATTCAGGGGAGGAGCTTACAGAGGATGAGCTAAGAGGGAGATTGACATCTCTCAGTTGCCATGGTGATGATGGAATTGATATCAGTAATCAGCTTAGGTAACTTAAGGGGCAGTTTGTCATTTTTGTGACTTGATGATATCTTGGCTTCTTCCCTGTAAATTTTTTCAATTCAATTTATTCTATGTATATTCTTTATAACTCTTATATAATATACACTATAAAAACAAGCCGCTAGACACCCTAGAGGGTATATGTTGCGATTTAACAGACATTTTTTAAATTATTATCTCATAGTATTTTTTGTTTGATTTGTTGATTTTGGTATTGAGTCTTAGCTCCTCCACTGCTCTTTAACTCTCCATATTCACATCTCACAGTTGCTATAGAAACCTTATATGCGAACTCCTGCTATTGGGAACACTTTTGTACATTCCAAATGGCATTCCAATAAGAATAGGTCTTACTGTGTGAATGAATGTGATAATACAGTATTGTATTCTACATTACAGAGAAGAAGAACTGATGAGAGACTTTGAGGAAATGTGAATGTTTTTTCATGTGATAATACAGTATTGTATTCTACATTGCAGAGAAGAAGAGCTGATGGGAGACTTTGAGGAAATGTGAATGTTTTTTCATGTGATATACAGTATTGTATTCTACATTGCAGAGAAGAAGAGCTGATGGGAGACTTTGAGGAAATGTGAATGTTTTTTTCAAGTGATAATACAGTATTGTATTCTACATTGCAGAGAAGAAGAGCTGATGGGAGACTTTGAGGAAATGTGAATGTTTTTTCATGTGATACACAGTATTGTATTCTACATTGCAGAGAAGAAGAGCTGATGAGAGACTTTGAGGAAATGTGAATGTTTTTTCATGTGATATACAGTATTGTATTCTACATTACAGAGAAGAAGAGCTGATGAGAGACTTTGAGGAAATGTAAATGTTTTTTCATGTGATATACAGTATTGTATTCTACATTACAGAGAAGAAGAGCTGATGAGAGACTTTGAGGAATTGTGAATGTTTTTTCATGTGATATACAGTATTGTATTCTACATTGCAGAGAAGAAGAGCTGATGAGAGACTTTGAGGAAATGTGAATGTTTTTTCATGTGATATACAGTATTGTATTCTACATTGCAGAGAAGAAGAGCTGATGGGAGACTTTGAGGAAATGTGAATGTTTTTTCATGTGATATACAGTATTGTATTCTACATTACAGAGAAGAAGAGCTGATGAGAGACTTTGAAGAAATGGAAGCTTTGATAATGGAAGAAGATGACCAGGATGATGTGAAACAACTACAGTGACCAAATAATATATAGAGATATCAAATTATATGACAGTGACATGATATATGATATGGCAGTTACGTTAAGTAATGAACAGTTAATATTGCGGTGAAACAACTGCAATGATCAAATTATATGACAGTAACATGATATATGATATGGCAGTTACGTTAAGTAATGAACAGTTAATATGGCGGTGAAACAACTGCAATGATCAAATTATATGACAGTAACATGATATATGATATGGCAGTCACGTTAAGTAATGAACAGTTAATATGACAGTGAAACAACTGCAATGATCAAATTATATGACAGTAACATGATATATGATATGGCAGTTACGTTAAGTAATGAACAGTTAATATGGCGGTGAAACAACTGCAATGATCAAATTATATGACAGTAACATGATATATGATATGGCAGTCATGTTAAGTAATAAATAGTTAATATGGCAGTGAAACAACTGCAATGATCAAATTATATGACAGTAACATGATATATGATATGGCAGTCACATTAAGTAATGAACAGTTAATATGGCGGTGAAACAACTGCAATGATCAAATTATATGACAGTAACATGATATATGATATGGCAGTTACGTTAAGTAATCAACAGTTCATATGACAGTGAAACAACTGCATTGATCAAATTATATGACAGTAACATGATATATGATATGGCAGTCATGTTAAGTAATAAATAGTTAATATGACAGTGAAACAACTGCATTGATCAAATTATTTGACAGTAACATGATATATGATATGGCAGTCACGTTAAGTAATGAACAGTTAATATGGCGGTGAAACAACTGCATTGATCAAATTATATGACAGTAACATGATATATGATATGGCAGTCACGTTAAGTAATGAACAGTTAATATGGCGGTGAAACAACTACAATGATCAAATTATATGACAGTAACATGATATATGATATGGCAGTTATGTTAAGTAATGAACAGTTAATATGACAGTGAAACAACTACAATGATCAAATTATATGACAGTAACATGATATATGATATGGCAGTCACATTAAGTAATCAACAGTTAATATGGCGGTGAAACAACTACAATGATCAAATTATATGACAGTAACATGATATATGATATGACAGTCAGGTTAAGTAATGAACAGTTAATATGGCGGTGAAACAACTGCAATGATCAAATTATATGACAGTAACATGATATATGATATGGCAGTTACATTAAGTAATCAACAGTTAATATGGCGATGACACAACTCCACAGATCAATTTCTATGACAGTAACATAAAGATATAAGATATATGACAGTCGCGTTTAGTTTGGATTCCTAGCTGTGAGAAGCTGCCTCTCTTGCTTTTAATGGACCGAGAAAAACGGTGCAGTGGGAGACTCAAAATCTTTGATTTTCAAACATCTAGTAGGTGTAAAATTCAAATTAACGTTTTTTAACGTGCATACAGTAGTTGGACCCTAGTGTTTATTATTGAATAGAACCTAATTTATTAAAACATTGCATTGAAATCATTTGATTATGTTATGCTGTTACGTGCCACTGTTTATGACTGTGTTTTTGAACTGCCAGCGGCAGGCAGCAGTTTTCCCCCTAGGTATCATGAAAAAGAACAATGAGCCCATGCATTGCAAATTACATGCTCACACGTTTGTAACAAATACAGTTTATCCAAGTGCACTTAAAGCGCTAATTACCCTGTGGCAACGTTGTCAGCTGCTCGCGTGTGTCAACCTTGTCAGCTGCTCGCGTGTGTCAACCTTGTCGGCTGATCGCGTGTGGCAACCTTGTCGGCTGATCGCGTGTGGCAACCTTGTCGGCTGATCGCGTGTGGCAACCTTGTCGGCTGATCGTGTGTGGCAACCTTGTCGGCTGATCGCGTGTGGCAACCTTGTCAGCTGATCGCGTGTGGCAACCTTGTCAGCTGATCGTGTGTGTCAACCGCGTCTGCTTGTTGCTAGTTCACGGTAGAAATCCCACTGCAATAAACCATGGTATCTTTCAAAAGAATTATGTGAGCGTAGGTGCACTTGGACAAGCTACTTTTGTTGAAAACACATGAACATGTTATTTGTACTGCATGGCTTATCTATATACCTCGGAAAAACCTCATTAAAATATTAGACAATTCACTAGCACCGCGGGCATACAAAAATACAGTCTCAATCTCAATATTGTAATAACATTCTTAGAATGTGTGACTTGCATACAGTCTCCGAGTAATATGTGTGTCATTTAAATGTAATATGTTTTGGTTTTTGTTGTATTGATGTATTTGATGTTAAAACATGCTAAAAATAAATTTATAGGGTGGTCCAAAAAAGTGAACCCTTATGACAAGCTATATCTCCGTTATTACCTGCATTAATGTTTAAATATTTTCACGTTTTCTCATGTTATAGAGGACGGTCTTAAGTTTTGTTGGTTCCGTAAAGCCCATTCATCTTTTAGGACCTACTTTTTATGATATTTCATCCTTTGGATACTAATTATATATGGGGATAACATCCCCGGATAACAGCACAAGATAATTTTGGGATGCATTGCTAAAATCGTATCCACTGATATGATTTTTGATAGATACTATTTTTTTATTAGTTTTGAAATCCTTGCCATCCCTCAAAAATCATAGGACATCCTCGATTTACACTGGGTCTCCATTATCTACAAGATTAAATGTAACAATATGGCCAAACCCAATGGTCAACCTTGAATGTAGTATGAATTGAAAGCTACAGAGATTCGATTATAGATTTCTTGACTTATATAGTTTTTAAATCTAAAAGTCAAGTAAAGGTCCACAAAATCTATTTCCATTATCAATTACATCAGTATTAAAGGCAAAATCATCAAAGGCATTAACCAACTCTTTTTCTGTGATTTTGCCATCATGGTTTGTATCCATGTAATCAAACTGCAATCTTGCTAGACTTGGATTAAGTTTCAAGGCTTTCCAGAAGATCAGGTACTCTTCAAAGCTTATAAATCCGTCAGAGTTGAAGTCAATTGCCTGTAATATTAAAATATTTTCTCTATAATGTTATATGTATGCTCAGTTCTGGTCTCTTGAACGGACTTCTTTTGCGATGTTGCTATCTGAGTGGCCACTAACAGACTAATGCCTTGAGACCTTAGAACTCTAGGATCTTCAAACTATTTTTCAAGGAAATCCCACCATATTTAAAAATTGGAAAAATTAAGGAGAACTTTTTAAATCTCACAAAGTAAACTAAAATGCAATGAATTGCCCTTACAAAATATATGAAAGTGATCAAAAGTAACAACCAGGGTTGTAACAATGCCCCCTTCTTTGAAAAATAAATCGTCCTCGATTTCCTTTTGAACAAGACTATTAAATCGCTACATAGAGGACTTGATACATACAGGGTGGTCCAAAAAAAGTGAACCCCTGCAATTTTGTTGGGACTATACATTTTTCTTCGTCTTGAAATTTGCAGAAATTATAAGCCTTAACCAAATATTACTGAAAACGGATAATATGTGGTTTTCAACATCCGCGATTGTTCAACCCATCAACACCCTTCCCCTGACAATTTCTTTAGCTGCAGTCTTAAAGAGCTATTATTTTCTGACTTTGTTTGGTTTTGAATCACGCACATTACGGCGTAAAAACTAGCATCCTACCTTTGTTAGTTGCAAAGATATTGTGATCCAAAGAAATGTTCTAAGTTTCCATAGATGAAAATTTTTCCCAGCGAAATCGCAACATACCCCTTTATGATCTTGAAATGTCAATATCTTCATTAATCATGGACCAATTCTCCTGAATTATGGCTCAAAACATTTAAATTAGATTTTCTTTTGGTTTTCTAAAGATATTTGATTAAGGGCTTCTCAGACTCTTGGTCATAGGGGGCAACTTTTCCCTCTCTATCCATTTGTGTAGGTAACATGCGATGCCCCTTAACTGTTGAACAATTAAAACTGCTTCAAAATGATCAATGAAAGTGTGAAATGTGTTTTCTGCTCAAATAGTATCCCATTTGTCATATGGTAGGGTTTTAAACTTGTATCTCTAACTGAAAGCTGTTTTAAGAATACCTAACATGTTTCAACTATTTCCATGAATTACGTTGGTAAAATTTTGCACAATCTAATTTTCAGGGATGTTCGTTTAAGTCTTGTAATTTCTTGAATATTTAAGACTGGGAATAAATTATGGCATCAACAAAAAGTTTAGACCTTTCTTTACAACATGTGATAGTATGAGGCAATTCATGCAAGTATTAAGGAAAATATAGCCTGTTGCAGGGGTTCACTTTTTTGGATCACCCTGTATATCGTGTGGCAAAATACTTATAAATAACCCACTAGACTTAGTGAAAATTACATAATATACAAAGTAATAATGTAAAATGTCTAACATTAATGTTGCGTGAAATATCAAATAGTGCAGCATAGCGTCAGGCTATATATGTAGCACAAGTACAAGCCAACATGTTAAATAAACAAAAGATATATACGAAACATCTTGAAAATTAAAATATTAGTAAAGCCTGGCTAATAAAGTGCCATTTTCTCTAAAAGTCCACTATGATATTGCAGATTTCTACAGTTACTTTTTAAAAAACCAAAGGGGCACACATTCCTAAAAATTTCTTGTTCTTAATATATTTAGCCATAAGTCACATACAAAAATCCTCATTGACTGCCATTAAAAACTGATATCAATATGCTTTTACTAAAGTGTCCTTTCTCTGATATTGCAGATTTCCTATTTCTATAAATCAGAAAATTTCATAGTGGACTTTTGGAGAAAAGTACACTTTATTCGTAAACCCATGTTTATAGCAGTTTATAATGGCAGCCAATGGAGATTTTCGGTCAACTTAAGGTCTAAATATATATATAAAAAAAAATAAGAAATTAGTTTTAGAATTGTGCCTGTTTGGTTTTTTAAAAGTCACGGTTACATACTATTGAGATTGACTTTATTGTTCTTGAACTCCTTTGCAGGGGGTCTTTTGAAGATTGATAAATTAACATTGAATTCAATGGAAACATGCAAAATTTTCGAGCCCTCTTATTATCCACTGGGGCTACTTTTTAACACCACTTCGGTAGATATCAAAAATATATGTATTAATGATACTTTGGTCAAAAAATGGTGACGTATAGCGCAATTGAAGTGCTAACTGACTGCACTAGAAGGAAATCATTTTGAAATGTTCTTATAGCATGCGTTTTTGACTCGCGTTTTTGACTCACGTTTTTGAGAGGGTTTAGTACATATTGAGCAGTTGAGTGGCAAAGTACGCCCCATTTTAATGCCCACC